ACTACTATAAGTACTTTTATGCATTTCAAACCGTTATACAGACAAAATATAATTGTGCGTATACTGTATACTTTGGGTTATTTTCTTTACAACATTAATTTATCTCCATGGATACTGTACTTTAACGAAAAATTTTATTTACTGTTAAGCAAATTTTATTTTATAGAATTAAAATATTGAATAAATTTTATTGTCCTAAGCGAAGCGTAGGACTTAAAGGGAGATGACGCACAGAAAATGGCCATTTCCGCACTTTTTAATTCCAATGATTTTTGTATAAAAGATAAAAATGTTAAATTATTTAAATAAATTTATCAAGAATGAATAAGAATATATTTTTAAACTATAATATTTTTAATCATGTACTTAATTTGAAATTACTGTATGTGTATTAATTATGCATATTTATAAAAATATTGAATAATAATAATTTTTATTTAATTAAAATTATATGCTATAATTTTTTAATTAATATTTTTAAAATTATAATTATATTAAAATATTTATATATAATTAAAAACTTTATTTAATATTAAAAAAACTTTTTTTTACAAATATTTTTTTTCAAAAGTTTTCTTTTATAGTAACAGGCAAAAATCTAAGAAAAAAAAACCAGCAAGCACTCTTGGGAGCCTAACTTCCAAGGACAAACCTTCAAACCTATCCTATATTCTTTTGAATATTGTTGTAGCAAATCTCAAATAACTATCTTTTTCTATAGTCTACAAAAAAATTAGCTCAAACAATATTTAAATTATTGAATCAGCAAAATATATATTTATTCCTCTTCTAGTCAATTCTTTCAAATTTTGAATTGTTTCCTTATATAATTAATGAATTAATAACAATTCTTTACAAATTTATTGAATTCAAATAATAATAACTACAGTAATTCCAATATCTCTTTATACTTACAGTATAATATTCATAAACAATATGAAAAGTAATCTCCAAAACAATCTCAATAACTTTTTTTATATCAGAAGAGAAATAATCTTGTTTTAAATATAAAAAAAACTATTGCAAGAAAAATATTAAACAATAATCTCAATTATACTTATACTTTTTCTAAAATCAAGTTAATATAATAAACAAAATTTATTTTTTAAAAATACAAAACATATCAATTTATTAACTATTCAATATATAAGTTTTTTTTTAAAAAAATAGAAACTAAAAAACAATATCCTTATATAAGTTTTAAAGAAAAAAAATTACTATTCTTCAAATTCTAAAAAAATCCTTAAATAATTTATTTTTATCTATTGATCAATAGAATACAAACAATTTCAATTTAATCAAAGCCAATAGTAATATGCATATACTGTATCTTTTACAATTTTAAAAAATACAAGTATTATATATACTATAAATATAGTAATACTAAATATCAGTAATATTTACAATCTAGATAATATGATACAAGTGAATAATCTTTATTATACAGTTATTATAGATAACAATTATAACAAATTTAAAAGCATTATTAAATCTATTAAATTTTGTTTTGATAATAATATATTAATAAAATTATTGATTTATTTAACTGCTATAAATAATATTAATTTTTTTGTTAAAATTTAATTATTAAATTCAAAAGGAATTAAAACTTATATAAAGCAATACAATTATTAGTCATATATTTATCAAAACTTAATATTTATTCAGCTACAATAAATTAATATACAGTAGAAGAAATAACAGACTGGCTATATAAAAAATCAAATCTAATTGAAGATTTTATAAACTTTTTTAGTTTATTATTTATTGTTGACATCTTGTTTGGCAAGTTTATTGCTTCTCCAGAGCTTTTCTTACATAATGTCAGGTAAGATTTAAGCTTTCTTTACTTGAGGCATATAATTTTTGTTTAGCTGAATTTTACCAATTTCTTCTTTTCTTTCATTGTCACTTCCCTTGACAAAACTTTTATCACTTTCCTTTATAGTTTCCTATTATCCTTCACTTGCGACAAGTACTAGATTAGATAAGTCAATTAGTCTTTATTCTTTCTGCAATATCGATTACATGTTTTAATTAAAAAGTTTTTAATTAAAGTTAATGTTATATATTCTATACTGTATATTGTTATACTTTATTTTCGCCCAAAGATCTTTACTATTTCTTGTTCAATTTTAGTAGCATTCACCCTTGTAATATTGTCCATTCTAGAATAATCTTATATTACAGATCTGTTACTGCACTTTCGGCACATATTGCACATATTGCACTTTTACCATTTCTAGAATTTCTGTACTATTGATCTACTATAGTACCTTCGCCTACTTTGCCTACTTAGCCATCTCTGTCTATTCTGGAATATTCTTTAGTTTTACTTACTATTATTATTTTGCTATCTTCGCCAAAGTATTCATCTCTACCAAAGTAGGTATAGTTGACTATTTTGATGAAGATATCATCTTTTCCATAGTTATTATCTTTATCAAAGTATACTACTATCATGTATGCAAATAATATATCAAAAAATATGTATAAAAACACCTCCAATTCCTCCTGAAATTGCAAGGTTGAACTTTCCTCTTTATTAATAAAATAACTTGACCTTTACAAAACAAATCACCATTACCTCTTTCGCTTGACCTCATACACTTCAGAACTGTACTAATTTTAGTACACCCTAATGAACTTTAGCATACCACATTAATCCATCCATACAAAGTGTCTCCTTGCTATTAGTTCTCCGTTCATATCTTTCTCCTGAGGTAGGAAGATATATGACAAATTGGTGGTGACTGTGAGATGCACCTCATCTATTAGATGCAAGTTGACAATCAAGTCCCAAAAATAAAATGCCCTTTGATTGCCATCCCTGAGAAATTGCTCCCGAGGAAGTTCGATCTTCACAGGAGCGACGTTGTGTCCGTGACGATCCAAGAAGCAATGACCAATTCCGCTCCAACGACGATGTCCAAGAAGAATTCGGCTGCTGGTATATGTCAAATAGATGAAGAAGCATTGTCCCAATCTAAAAGAAGTCCCAAACTGACGAGAAAAGCTCCAGAATGGCTTGCGCAGAAGAAAAGCAAAGCCTAAAAACAATAATCACGGGATCGGCGGTATATGCGCCTCCCCTTAAAAAAAAAAATTTAAATTATTATTAAATAAATGAATGACGCCGTAATAATGAAATTCGCCACCCCTATCCAAAGAAGAAACAAAAACCAAGAGAAGCCTTCCCCCAATCCAAGATGATGGAGAACTTGCCTAGTTAAGTGACGTCAGTCCCGAGGATATGCCAGTATATCGTACGATCACCAAAAAGAATGACAACGAATGGACAGAGCAAAGAACCTGTCAAGAAAAGAAACGGTGTTTAATAGTTTTGCCATTTTAAAATAAAATAATATAAAAAAAAAAAGAAGAAAAAAAAGAAGAATCAATGCTTACCGGTCACGAATATCCGTCCCGATGGTAATGCTGGGCTACGGTAAATTCGTGAGGAAACTCCATCACATGAGAATGGCGAAGGAGAGTACTAATAGGATAAATGCGATTGCAAGTTCTTCAAAGACCTCACCTCCCTTAAAAAATCAAGCTTACAGTGAAATCTTTACAAACGAACATCACCGGCTGGCGAAGAAACTAAGAAAAAGTCAGGAAATAAAAGATATTCGATGATTATGTAGACTTTCATCAACTGATATTTACGTTTGTAAATACAAAAGAAAATTACAATGTATTAAACAAAAAGAAAACAAAGAGTAAAATACTGATCTGGAATAAGTCGTCAGTCCTGAGGGTCATGCCGGGATACTGACGATCATGAAGAAACGCCGTGGCACCGAAAGAATCAAGGGATGAGTTCCTAAAGGAAGAAAGGACCGTCTAGTAAAAAGAAAAAAACGACGGAAAAACCAATGGCAGAGAACCAAACTTACCGACAAGATTCTAGTAGCTTATGTCAGGGATGATAGATATCACTGAGGGTCAAGGAGAACCCGTGGATGGCAAATCGAACGTGAAGCATGGGGCTAGAAAAAGACTGGTAAGAAAGAGTTAGAAGCCAATGGTAGAACACCGCAAAAGAAAGAAAACATTGCAACCTATAGATACGATCAAGACCGATGATTAGAAATGCCGAAATTCCATCATGATCACAATCATGATCCCGAAGAAAAAAATGTTTATCATACGAACTCTATGGAAGTTAAGCATGCCTAGAATATATATATATGCATATATATTCTTAAAGATATCAGAGCAGCAAGGAAAGTCTAACACTTCGACAAGCCCCCTGCAATAATCAATACCATAACCAACGAGAGATATACCACCCCGACGATTGGAAATACCGGAACAAGATCACGAAGAAGGCACCGACATGAAAAGAAAAAAAAAAAAAAAAGACAAGAATGGTTAGAAAAAGAAATAACCATACACAACAGACGAAACGCAATGAAAAACTTATCTTACCTTCCAAAGATGACAGCCCCGAAGATCAAATGCTGGGATGCTATCATAATCATAATCACGATTATGATCACGATTGCAAAACATTGTCAACACTCAAGAAAACGATTCCTTTTTTTTTTGAATCTGACACCTCATCATTATCACATTTCACACCTTTCCGATGGCTACAACACCGCCTCTGGTTTCTAATAGTCAACATGGGTCAAGAGGGTTGCGTCAATATCCTCATGAACGCAAGCTTAGTTTATCAAATTTCTCAGAATCTTTAGCCAGCTACGATGGTGGCATTCGGACGCATGCTGGAGTAGTGAATTAGATTATTACGAGAATTATTGCAACGACCACGATTCCAAGTTGGCCAACCCCACATTAGATGATGAACTTTTGACAACTCGAGACGTAGAAGATAACTGGACCAAGAACTCACCTAAAAGGCATATCTACGTCATAGTCGAACCATCCGTATCAACCACCACTTCGAGTCGTAAACAGGAATTGCTTGACCGAATCACGTTGTTGAAGGCATCGATTAACAAGTCTGTCCATAAGTTCGATGTTATATATCAATGACCGAAGATATTATAATGACGAGACATTTAAGTAACCAGTACCGTAACGATAATGACTTCCCAAAGATAATCGTGATCACGATCGCGTGCTCTCCACCTGACAGATGGTACTGCCACCAACGCCAACATTACGACAGAGACAACAATGGAAAAGAGAAAAGAACCTATAGAAGAGCTTATTCCCGCCGAACCAACTGACGAAGTACACCACGACCAAGGCTCCGACGGAAAGAAGAAAGAGAAAACAAGAATGATGATAACCCTAAAGATCAAACACCGGGATGTTGCCATAATCGTGATTATGATTACGCGTTCCCCCCAGAGGTCATCGATCATCATAGATTCCAAGAGAACCAGTGTAGTTTCCTTTACACTCAAAGATGAAAAGATTGACGACCGAATTAGCAAAAAGTGTATCCTTTGCTTATGTTTCTGGATAGACATCAAGGTAGTGGAACATCGTCAATAATTGAAGAGGAGGATGGTGGATTTCCAAACTCAGTAACACCTAAAGCTAGCGACCTAATGCTTGAAAGCCTTCGTCTTTATAAAAGTGAGGATGAGTTCGATTCAATCGATCTAGGAGAACCCACCTGCAATGGCATGACAGCTTTGATGTGAATGCCAGGAAGCTGTCATGGCCGTAATCATAGTCATGATCACGATCACGATCGCATGCCCCCAGAAATCATGATGCAATGGCATAACCTACCAAATAAACAAGAACTTTGTTAGCATATACTTATGCCATCAAACGCACTCGACACCATTCATCATTTACCATCATGTACCTTATCCCACCACCACCGGTAACAGCATCTTGACCCAATCGATACTATTACCTACCAATGAAGCCACATCATTAAGATTCTACAAAAACAAATGAAGACAAATGTGAAGTTAATAATTATCTTATCCCTTTAATTACCCTTACACTTTTTACAATTCCTTTATAATTTTTTCATTATTCCTTTGATTATTCCTATATTTTATTAGCATTTAGTGACACACATATCATTTATTTCTTATGACTTGAGAAAATATTATTATTTGCTTGGATAATTTCATAAAACCATTACATAGTCATAGACGATCTTGATTCTTAGGAATCCATAGCATATGCTGGTTAAAGACTGGTCAGTCATGAAGTGCAAAATTATAGCAGAATGATATTTGAGGCTATAGCATTTTATGAAATTATCAAAGTGATTAATATTATTCTTTCAACTTATTTTATACTTAAACATTTTTTTTATTTTTATAATTTTATAATTTTTATATCTTTTACAATTTATCAAAAATATTTAATATTTATATACTTCTATGACGTCTATTAGAATAATGTTCATTTCTTAATACTACCCTATACCCTTGCATTAATCTTGCCAAATATCTATACTCCTGAATCAACCAGCATATATTTTTTCTTAAAGACTGGTTTCTCCTATAAAACCTAAATCCCCTTAAGCACTATTGAATATCTCTATTGAATTGATTATAATCATTAGAGGCTCTTTGTAAAACACTTAAGTCATGTTTCAAACTGATATACCGGTCACAAACAGGAGGAGCATGGGATTCAATAGGAGCAGGAGCAAAACTTTTAACAGGATCAGGAATAGAAACAGAGGAAGCAGCAGGAGGAACTATTTGATGAACATGAAAAGGATAACGAATAGTAGTCATAAAACTTGCATAAGAGAAAGGAAGGAAGACCCGCCCACTATGACAATTGACATGACCATCATAACGACCAGCACGATAAGAAGTATTGTTAGCAGACATGATATAAAAAGCTGAAGTGAGAAAAAAGGGAAAAAAATCAGTATCCAATATTAAAAATAAAAGAGGTCAAATATAAGGAAGCAAATTGACAAGTTATCTTTGAATATATGAATTCTCTTTATGACAGATGGGCTTAGTGATCAACTGGCAGCGAATTAATGCCAAAGCAGAGGAAACAACTTAATAATGAAATACATATATATATTCAATTTATAAAAACAAATTGAGATAACTTGTCTAATAAAGAGGGATAATTCAAAAAAATTGGATACCTTGGAAAAATAACATGCAAAAATCTTTAAAAATGATGATTGAACTTGCACTTGGAAAGTTTGGCAAACTCTGAACAAAAATCAATTCTTAAATATTAAATTATTTGAGAAACTGATGGAAACAAAAAGATCTTTTGATTGCTATAAATCTGCAACTTGAAATTCACCTCACCATTACATACCATTTAAGGAAAACAAGCATATAAGCAAACTTGAATGGATTGATCTAATATAACTAGGAGAGATAATCATTTAACATGTGAAATCTGGATGAACGACATGAAAAAAACTTGATTGACAACTGATAAAGGAAAAATTGTATGAAAAAACTGTAGGAAAAACTTTGTTCAGTATTGGAGGTATTTATAGCAACGGATAGTCTATAATTTGTGAATCCAAAGTCTAACAAAGAGAATATCAATAGTGGATACAAAAGTAATATTGAACATATAAATCTTGAATCGCATGGCAAGCGCAATAAATCTTGCTAAGCATTGTTAATATTTGAGTATCAGCTATACAAATATAGAAATTGATTATCAGGACAACATATCAATGAAATTTCCAATTTGAGGATAGTATGGGAAATTTATTCACATGAATTTATCTTTTCTAATTTAACAATTTGCTCATGGAACTCGCAGATTAGTAGGGGAGAATTGTTATACTTGATTTTCGTCCAAAGATTTTCACTATTCCTTGTTTAATTTTAGTAGCATTCACCCTTGTAATATTGTCCATTCTAGAATAATCTTATATTACAAATCTGTTACTGCACTTTCGGCACTTTCAGCACATATTGCATATATTGCACCTTTACCATTTTTAGAATTTCTGTACTATTGATCTATTGTAATACCTTCGCCTACTTTGCCTACTTAGCTATTTCTGCTTATTCTGGAATATTCTTTAGTTTACTTACTATTATTACTTTGCTATCTTCGCCAGAGTATTCATCTTTACCAAAGTAGATATAGTTGACTATTTTGACGAAGATATCATCTTTTCCATAGTTATTATCTTTATCAAAGTATACTACTATCATGTACACAAATAATATATCAAAAAATATGTATATAAATGCCTCCAATTCCTCCTGGAATTGCAAGATTAAACTTTCCTCTTTATTAATAAAATAACTTGACCTTTACAAAACAAATCACTATTGCCTCTTTCACTTGACCTCATAC